ATACACATCAGAGTAAGGGGGCCGAACGGTCATTCCCTGCGTGCGTGGTTCGATCAGGAATTCGTGCTGAGAATTATGTTTGTTTCGTCGTTGCTGTTGGTATTGTTGTTGTTGTCGTTGTTGTTGGTGTTGTTTTTGTTTTTGCTGTTGTTGTTTGTTGTTGTTGTCGTCGTCCCACCCGCGACCCACCCGCGACCCACCCTGCGACCCACCCGCGACCCACCCGCGACCCACCCGCGACCCAACCCGCGACCCACCCGCGACCAACCCCGCGACCCATCCGCGACCCACCCCGCGACCCATCCGCGACCCACCCCGCGACCCACCCGCGACCCACCCTCAAGGGAGGAAAAACAACCTAAACAACCTGGACCCGACAATTGAAGTTTACTAAACGGCCCTGGGCGTTAACCAAGCAGCCCTGCCCTGTTCGATGCATTCCTTGTATGCGTTTACTAACGGCTTCGCTCGTCGGGGTGATTATGATGGGGTGGATTTTCTGCCTTCTACACCCGCGACCCACCCGCGACCTACCCACATTGGTTTAACGAAGAAATCGGCGCTTGCGGCGGGCTCGTTGTATAATTTGTGAAACTCTGGCGCCTGCGGCGGGCTTCTCCAGAGTCTCGCAAATTGCCAACGTCCCCACCGCCCCCTCACTCTTATCCGCATCTGCGGGGTGCTACGTACACATATACATATGTGCGTGTATGTGGTAGCGCCCCCCACCCACCACCACCCTCAGATCAACCTCAGAGTGGACCGCGCGCGTGATTTAACCATGTATGTGTTTGGGTTTGAACCAAATGTCGAGTGCGTTCATGGATCGCCGCCCAAGACCGCCTCTCATCTCGTCGGTGGTCTGGGCTGGGATGCCCCTGGACTTAGCAAAGTCAACATTAAACACATCGCCACAAACAGGGAATCAGTGCGTGGTGGGTTTTCATCATGATGTCCGCTGTGGCTTTTGATTATTGATGAAGTCGTCAACGTTTTCATATGTGGGGGTTGTATGCTGGCCCAGACGGCCGACAAGAGGAGATGGAACCTTGGGCGGCGGTCGTCTGGGGCAGGGAAGAGGCTCTAGCTTGCTCTGCATTTGAAATAAAAATCGCTAGAAGGGAAGCAGTGTGTGGTAGATTTCTATGTGCCCCTTTGTGGTGATGGTTAAGCGCATGCTTTTGGTTGCATGCGTGATGCATGTTCGAAGGGCTTGTGCTGTACAATGTTATGCTGTGTTATGATGCTGCTCTTTCATGGTATGACGTGTCGGCGCGAGGGCGCGAGGCGGGACACTCCGCGACACTCGCGGGACCTGGGGATCTGGCGGCCGCAGTATGCAGAGTGGCGCTAGGCGGGACGTTCGGAGATACTCGGGAGACCTGGGGATCTGGCGGCCGCGGTATACAGAGTGGCGCGAGGCGGGACGTTCGGAGACAATCGGGGGACCTCGGGTTCTGGCGGCCGCGGCATGCAATGGCGCGAGGCGGGACTCTCGCGGACACTCGGGAGACCTGGGGATCTGACGGCCGCGGTATACAGAGTGGCGCGAGGCGGGACTTTTGGGGACACTCGGGGGACCTGGGGTTCTGGCGGCCGCGGCATGCAGAGTGGCGCGAGGCGGGACTTTCGCGGACACTCGGGAGACCTGGGGATCCGTCGGCCGCGGTATGAAAAGTGGCGTGAGGCGGGACTCTTGGGGACACTCGGGGTAGCGGGGGATTTGGCGGCCGCGGTATGCAGAGTGGCGCGAGGCGGGACACTCTGGGACACTCAGGGGACCTGGAGATCTGGCGGCCGCGGTATGCAGAGTGGCGCGAGGCAGGACGCTCGGGGATAACTACTCGGGGAACTGGGGATCTGGCGGCCGCGGTATGCAGAGTGGACGTCGAGAGGTCTGATCTTAGAATCAAACGACCCCAACTTGCCGGGTGGGGAACCAACGACACAGAAGGAATCAGAGCGTGGTAGATTTACACGTTGGATTCCTTGTGTGGCGATGAGACATCTGTAACACAACTCAGAGAAATGTTACATGTTCTTATTTTCGGGGGCTGGCCTCCCAGCCCAGACCGCCGACGAGATGACAGGGGGCCTTGGGCGGCGAACTCATGGGGGGGACTGGATCACAAAAGTAGTAACAGGTAAATATTAGAGTTGAGAAATACATCGTACCCAGGGGGGTACCTTGTATGATCCGCCAGGCAGTCGAGTCAGTGTGAGTGCGTGTGTTGCTGCTGGGTCGCGCTTCTCCTTCATTTGCCCCCGGATCACAGAGCCCACTGCGTATTTGTGTTTGAGAAAATACAGAAACAACAAAACACGTCACAAAGGATATGCGACCTCGGAGCCAGAATGTGATCTGACCATCGTGGTGCTGCTATTGGGTCAGAACTGCGTGGCAAGGCCGAGCGGCAACGCTAGGCAACCAACGCCACTCAAGAGCCAAGAGGGCGGGAAGAAGAGCAGGAGCAGTGTGGCCATCAGGCTTCGCCGCAATGCATTGCAATGCAACCAGCTCTGTGCCATGCGATGGTGACGTTATGTGAGGTTTGTACATGTCAGCATTTCCCCCCCGAAGCTGACGTAGAAGGAGACCGGGCGCTGTGTACCCAGGGTTACGCATGTCGTTCTGGGGAAGCGATGACATGTACCGATATTGAATATTCGCAAGAATTTCTTTCTCAAGCCACCTGTGCAAGTGCACGCGTAGAACAGAAGACATTTCAATCTCAGTTTGTTTGTATCCTTGCCACACGCGCATAAAAGAGTGCTGTCCGGTAAAACGATAACGCTGTCTGCTCTTGCTATGGCAACCCTCAACTACAATCTAATGCATTGCAACGCAGAGCAGCACAGCGAACGATGAGAAGTTCGCCGCAGCAGCAGCACAGTGACGCGTGCTACCTCGCTGTAAAAATGCAATCTGACCATCGTTGTGTTGCTAGTGGGTCCAAAGGGGGCAACTGCGCAGCAAGGACGAACGGCAACGGTGTGCATCGAACGACACTGAAGAGCCAAGGGGGCGGGAGGAAGAGCAGGAGCAGTATGGCAATCAGATTTCGTCGCAATGCGACGAAATGCAGTGCAGCACGCTACAATACAGCGCACTACAATTATAATGCTCGCGGCCGCTAGATTCTGGATTCCCAATTAAGCAGGCCAAAGAGCTAGTTTAGAACTGTTTGAGAAGAAATGGCACGCATAACTGTTTTCTGATCTCCCTTTTTGCAAAAAGAAAGGCGGCCGTTTCCAGAAAAAGTGCAACGTGCGAACGTGGGGTCGCTCGCGAGGCCCAGCCAAGTTCTGTTTGCGCGCGCGCATTGCAGGCGCAACACCACAAAGTACGGCATGCAGAAGGGGTCAAGGATGAGTGGAGACAGGAAGAGGGGGAGAGAGGCAGCATGAGGATGGGGGAGAGAAGCGAGGATGTGGATGGGGGCCAACGGGGAGCCAGGGGGAGAGGCTGGATGGGGATGGGGGCCAAATCTGAGGGGGAGAAGGATGAGGGGACAAAGGAGGGGGAGGGCGACGCGAGGACATGCAGCAGGAAGAATATGACCGAGGAGGTGAATCAGGAGGTGCCAGCGCCGACTTCCGCTCGCGCGGGTCCATGGAGACCACGCTGCTGCGCGGGCGCTGGGCCAGCGTGCGGACGGCGCGCCTGTGCGTCCAGGACGCCGTCGCCGAGGCGACGACGCTCGCGCTGCTGCCAGGACAGCGCGCCGCTTGCCTGCACCTGGCAAGCCGAGTGAGGTAAACGCACCGCTCGTATTCTGCCCTCCCTTATCGTCCCTCTCTGTCTCCCATCTTACTCAGTACGCTCGATGCGGTGAGGGTCTCGGGTTTCGGTGGTGGAGTTCGCTGTGCAGCAAGGTTACGGTCCGTGGAGCCAGAACCTCGCCCCCGACAGGCTCTCCCAGGGGGGGGCGGCCTTGTGCCTCCCGAGGTGCCCAAGCGTGCTCCTCCTGGCTGGTGCTCGCCAGTTTTGGGGGGGAGCGTCCTTGGCCCTCCTCCTGGGGAGGCCTGTCGGGGGGGGGGCTCGGCCCTGACCAAAGCGACTCCTGGCGGGGCGCTAAAAACAAGGAGTGGGGTGGGCGGGTCGGGTGGCTGGGTGGTGTCCTCCGAGCGCCCGGTGGAGAATCTTGCGGGCCCTGGTCTCGAGCGCCCCCGGGTCCATCCTGGGCTTCTTCATTCGCGCGGCGGGGGGAGGGGCGGGGGCCCCTTGCGGCGCGCATTGACGCCGCCCGAAGGAGCGTGGCAACCAGAAGCCGGAGGCCAAGCGCGAGCTCCCCCCCGAGAGCAACCCAGACTTGGACGCCGAGAAGATCGGGGAGGGCGGCGCGCCAGAGTCTGGCCCCCCCCCGCGAAGGCCTCCAGGAAGTTTGATTGCTCCATCGAGTTGGCTCGCAGTACTCCCAGCCCGAAATCGACCGAACAGTCTCCCGGACCGACCGCGGCCATGGCGGCGTGTTTGGAGGGCGGCAAGGCCGCCGCTGAGGAGCCCGGGGCGGCGGCCTTCTGGATCGCGCGGCCGGCCCTCGATGAAATCATGGGTGGGGGCGCGTGCAAGGAGGCTGCAGGGCAGGCGGGAAAGTTGCTGTCCAAGAGGGCCCTCGACGGACACCAGCAGCGCGAGTTGAGGGCCCACCTTGACTAGCGGACCACGGCGATGAACTTCTGGTCGAACGCGATGGCCGAGCGTTCCCTGGAGGACCTCAAGAGCGATGCCGAGATGTTGGCCGCGGTGAACGTCTATCCCCCCGCGAACGCGAAGATGGCAACCATTCGCAAGGTGACGGGCCGGCCCAGCCTGGCTACACATGAATGAAGGCAACAGCAAGCAGAACGAGGTTGTTGTTCAAGGCTCGCGTGACCTGCGGCCCCAGATTTCAAAGCAATGGCGCCTGCCTCTCGACGCCTCTTTCGACGCGTCGCGCCCGCGCATGGCGGCAGCCGGCCTCTCTGACTTCCGTCTGGCCGGTGCCCTGGTCCACGAGGCGTGGGCGAACCACGTTTGCGAGTTGATCGCCGACGACCCAGATAAGGCGCACAGCCTGGTGGAGCTCCTGACCAAGATGCAGGTGTGCCGGGACATGCCTGAAGACGCGTGCATCGGCGACAAGGCTTCGCACTCGTTCGTGGAGTCGAACGCTGCAGCGTCGGCGCTGCTCTCCCTGTTGAACCCTTCGATTTCGGCTGACCTCAACATGGGTGGCCCGGACACCGTTGGGAGCATCAGCGGTGCGTCGCTGGGCGCCTCGAGCGAGACATCCGTTTCCTCGGCAGTCGGCATGGCCATCATGGATGAGGTCGGGCGGTCTGCCAAGCTCAGCGCCGCCGTGAACGCGTTGAAGCCGTTTGAAGAGCACGCCCCCGAGATCGCGGAAGAGTGGAAGTATTCAAACGTCGACGTGGCCCAGCTAGCCGCCGACCGGTGGGCCACCGAGCTTGGGGGCCTCATTGGCGAGCTGTCGGTTTTGGAGGCCGAGGTTCCAGAAACTTATTGGTCGGATGCGAGCCTGTTCGTCGTGGGCAAGCTGCGCAACGTGTCGGCCCACTTCCTCTCCGAGCAGACGCGGGCCGAGCTGCGGGCGAACGGCAGCGCGGAGACAGACGCATTGACAGCACTAAGGCCACTCTTCAAAGCAGCCGCCCGCGCATTCCCATCCGAAGATACCATCCGCAATGCATCGAGAGAGGTATCAGGGAATCGCTGAACCAGATCTCTAGTGAGGACCTGGTTGATGGCTTGAGGCGCCTCGCGGATTTCCCGATCGACGAGGGCAGGGACTCGGCAGCCACTGCGTTGTGGGAGAAGCTTACCACGATCGCCCCGAAGACCCTGCACGAATCCTCCGCCAACTTCAAGCCGCTCCTGTACTATTTTGCCAAGTCGTTGACGATGGATGATCTCGGAAAGGGCCTGGGCTCTGTTAAAGCGCAGCTAACCCGCAAGCCCAGCGGCATTTGTATCAGCGAGATGCCAGCGTACGCCAAGGTCTACAATGTCGCGACGGGACTCACGCGACAGCGCAGCGCTTGGAACAGCTTCAGAACAGCCAGGGTGCGGTTGGCCCAGGTGGGCGTGCGTCGCAGAAGTTGGAGAACGACCTGGCAGGTGTTATTCGGTTTGGAATGGGCTGAAGGCGCTGCTCTCCAAATTGCCGACGGACACATACTTGGGGCGCGAGGTCGACGTCGAGTCCATGGCCAACGACCTCGAGGCGCTGCGCGCCTCGCACGGATAGAAGCTCGTCGGGGAGTACGTGGGATACGTCGGCGCGTCGGCGGAGGAGATCGTCAAGGTGATGGAGTTCCCAGCGGTTGGGGAGTGGTTCAAAGAGTCCGAGGCTTGCAACGTGATGAACACCCTGGTCAAGCTCTACAACAACACGCTCAACAAGATCACGCCTGGCCAGATCAATGGCTTGGGCGACCGACTGAGCGCGGATTGAGCCTCTTCTAGATGCATCGCCGCGCCCCATCGCCCGTAGGGTCCGCGAGCGAAGTTCGACGGCCCGGCGCAAGCCAGTCCGTCGAAGCTCGCCGAGGCACCGACGGGAGATGCCGCGTTGCTGGCATTTTGGGCGGCGGTTCCAGGGCCGCAAGGCCGCCCAGTCCAAGGCCGACGCGTTCGGAGTGGAGCTCGGCAAGGACTACCTCGCGCGTGGCAAGCGCGAGGGCACCGCGCAGAAGGCGCGGGCGCTTGGAGCCGCGGCTGCGGTCCTGCACGCGGCGGCGGGGCAGTTGAAGGGGGCAGCCCTGTGCTCGAAGTGCTTGGAGGTCCAGGCGTGGATGAAGAAGCGCTGCTTGATGCCCGACCGCTCGCGCGACGTGGTGAAGGAGATCTTCGAGGACGGCCAGGAGCTCACGCGCCAGGTAGCTGCTCGGTCCTTGAGCCGCAGGGGGGGGGGGGGGCGCAGGACGAGGGCTTCGATGTCGAATCCAGGCCGCGTGCTCATTCCTTCTCAGATTCACGCGGCACCATGCACAATGTTCGCGCTATCGCGTGGCATCCGAAAGGTGCGAAGTTTACGGTGACCGGCCAATGTGTGTTCACGCGCGTTCATTGCGGCATGTTTGGCTCGACGTTTGCGATTTGGGCGCGGCGCCGAGGATCCGGGGTCGCGCCCCAGAATCCGCTCGCTCGCGGGGGCGGCGGGCGCACGGGGGAGACGGCGCTGCGCCGCGGAGGCGCCCGCAGCGCATGAGGTGACGCCGGTCCTCGCCGTTGGCCCGCCACTCGTCGCCGCCGCCGCCGCAATTCCAGATCCAAGTGCAACTGCGGTTCTTGATTCACCGATTCGGGGGCCGATGTGGCGCAGGCGCGATTTCCGCCCCTGCCGCCCCCCCCCCCCCCCCCCCCCCCCCCCCCCCCCCCTTCGATTTTTACCCCTGCTCGATTTTGGCGTCCATCGCGCGCCCCTCCCCTCCCCCGCCCTCGCAGCCCCAGCGTCGAATTGCAGGGGTGGGACGCGCGACTAAACCGCTTGCAGCGTTTGGTTTAAGATTGGGGGCGGTCGCAACCACTGCCACATTGCACAACTTCCGTCTTCGGAGCACGTGGTTTCGGTCGAACAGAAATCAACGCAAACCGCGCAACATGTCAGCGCAGGAAAAAACAACAAAAAACGTTTCTAGGCCCCCCACCCTGTGGTTACATATTCTCAACAGGCAATCAAACATGTCAAGCGCCCAACCCAATGCATGACAAGTGATGCCCTCACGCGCGCGCGCCGTGGTCGACGACTACACGCATGAGAACACATGTAAAAAGGAGACCGAACACAAGTCTAAACCACTTACCGGCGCATGCATGCACGCGCGATCTAAAACATGTACATAAAACCGTAGTTGTTTTTCGGGCCATTCCCAGGTTCCACAGTCCAGCGGGATCGGAACATTATAACACCACAGTGCAATGCAATCCGATGATGTTGCTATGTGAGCTTCGTGAATGCCAGTCCTTTCCTCCAAAGGTTAAACAGGAACGGACAAGGTCTGTTGAAGCGCGCGCTGATGAGCGAAGGAGGCCAGACACTCTGTGCTCCGAGTTCTGTGGGATTGTTGGGAACGCGCTTGCATGCGCCAAGCTTACACAACCTTTGGGGGAACCGATGAGCAAAAAAACATGATGTAAGCTGTGGGGGATGTGCTCGAATGTACACAGCTCGCATAACATCATCCGTCATGGTGTCGCAATACCTTGCGTTTCGCTGTATTATGGTGCGGTGCGCTGAATTGCTGCGGTGCGCAGTATCGGATTGCAGCGCGTTGCGTTGTAGCGTATCGTGTTGTATGGTATTGTGTTGGCAAGTTGTCGTTGCTATGCTTACGCACGACTGCGTTCTCCATCCACTTGTGCAGGTGCACGCGTGGTGTATAAGAAATCGGCATGCCAAAAGTTGCTTGCATTTTTGTCACGCACGCAAAGGAGGGACATGTCAGCACGTTTCCCCGACACATACATAGGAGAAGGAACATACCGCAGACAGTGAGCTGAAGAGTCAAGGGGGCCGGGTATTCTGAGTTCAGGGCTACGCTACCTTTTTCCCATCCGACCTGCTGTTAGGTCCTCGTTTTGACGAGACGGTCCCCGCGTTCATTCTCCTCATCCTCTTCTCCTCCTCCCCCTTCCCTCCTCCCGTCACTCACCTAACTTCGGTGCATCCCTCATTTGTTTCGTGACCCCCATCTGAGTTCAACCAAGGGTCCCAGTGGCGCCGCCCGCATGCGTCCCCGCCACCCATTTCGGCACCCCCCCTCGCACGTTCCGTGGCCCCATTGGGAGCACCGCCGAGGGTCTCAGTGGCGCAGCCCGCAAGCGTCCCCGCCACCCATCTCGGCACACCCCTCACACGTTTCGTGGCTCCATGGGAACTTCACCGGAGGTCCCAGTGGCGCAGCCCGCACGCGCCCCCGCCACCCATTTCAGCACACCCCTTAGATGTTTCGTGGTCCCGTAGGGAGCCCGAGGGTCCCAGTTGCGAAGCGCGCGTGCGTCCCCGCCGCGCATTTCGGCACACCCTTCACACGCTTCGTGTCCCCATATGGAGCTCCACCGAGGGTCCCAGTGGCGCAGCCCGCCGGCGTCCCCGCCGTCCACGTTTGAGGGAACGATGTCCAACAAAGAAGCGCTCAGCAACCGCGGGGGTCGGGGGGGCGAAAAGGGGGATCCCCCCCGTAAGGATTTGGTACCATTTCATTTCCGCCCCTGCGGGGCACGGGCAGGACACGACCAGCAAATGAAAGGAGGAAGGACAGGGAGGTGGAGAAGGAGGAGGCATGCACTGGCACGTTCGGAATTGTGTATCTGCACGCTTGCGTTGTAGCGCGTATACGTTATACATAGATTGGGAGGTCAACGATGTTTCGCCGCGTTGCCGCCCGTTGCCGCCTCGTTGCCGCCCACCGCGCCTCGGAGGCCCGCCGAAAGTTGCCGCCTAGCTGCCGCTCGCTGAAGGGGTCCGCCGAGATCTCCCCCCGTTGCCTCCCGTTGCTGCCTCGATGCCGCCCTGCTGTTGCCTCCCGTTGTTGCCTCGATGCCTCGTTGCCTCCCGTTGTTGCCTCCCGTTGCTGCCTCGATCCCGTTGCTGCCTCGTTGCCTCCCGTTGCTGCCTCGTTGAGGAGGAGGAGGGGGAGGAGGAGGAGCTTGCACCACGTATAGTACCTGGTCAGAAGCATGATACATGTTACCTCCCTCCCACCCAGGGTGCTCGATTCCCCTTGGGGCACTTGCTGCAAATTGCACATGATCATGCCTCATCGCTGGTTTATTATCCCAGCAAGGCTGGTATCGACAACCCCCCATCCTGGCCAAATGAAGCTCCACGCGCGCACACTCGCTAGATCAAAATATTATGTTGCAAGAATCCCTTGCGCCCAGATGCCCACGCGCCGACATCATGACATAGATTGAGTCACGCAAGTATATCAACATTGAAACATTAGAAGCATGCGGGCGCGTCAGCATTTTTTGCAGAATGCGAAGGCCGTACGGCCGATGCCAGTGACTCGGGCCCCCCCAGGGCCTCCTCCGCCCACCCACCACCCCCCCTGGCAGGGGGTCATTCTGACCTGGGACCCCCCCCCCGCACCCTGGGGAGGCGGTATTGTGACCCGGGACAGCTCCCCGAGACCCCCCCAAACCCCCACCCCCCGGCAGTCAAGGGAGAAAGGGCAGGGGATTCTTTTCGAGTTAACTAATTACGACCTTTCCTTGGTTGTCAATTCCCTTGGGTCTGACGACGGCGACGACGATGACGACGGCCGCGTGTTCCGCATGCCAAAGGGTCGTCGGATTTTCTGCCCGCGCGCACTTGCTGAAATAATGCGAAAACTATACGATGTTCGCAATATCGTCCAGAACCCGCATTCTCATCACAACCCGCAGCATCCGCGTTGGTCTAGCATGCGCCCAGCGCGCGAATCCTCGTCCAATAACATCATACGGGCCAGACTTGTGCGCCACCACACGCGCGTGTCGAAACCCGTCCCAAACAAGTGGTGTTCGAAACATTTCAGTACAGAGGTGTTCTAAAACACTTGAAACAGCAATTGCTCTTCAACAAAAGATCTGACAGTTGTCTTGAATTTCTGCGCGCGCACTCCGTCACCATCACCCTGGTTATCGCCATCTTATCCCTGCCGATCTCATCACGGTCAATCGCCGCCATTGCCGCCATCATCAGCACTGTCACTCTCATCGCCAGCACATGGACATCGTCGTCGTCACCAGCATCGGCTCCGTCATGGGCCTTGATGTTGTCATCGTGCCCATCGCCACCACCACTGCTACTAATCATCACCGTTGCTTGAGGGGCCAGGGTTCGTCACTATGCCGTCGATACTAGTGTTCTCTGAAAAAATAAAAATTCGAAATTATAAAAAATAAAAATAGTACACGGTAATTAACGAAATAAATGAATATTACATAAATGAATACTACATGAAATGATTAATGAAATAATATTACATGAATATTTACTGAAATTAATGAATACTACAATAATACATACGAAATA